ATGTATCTGCATTTAATTTTGAAATTGATTTAAATAAGGAATTTTATTTACAGCAATTGACTGAATTAAGTAATCTAATGCTCATGTTACATAAACTGTATGCAATCTTCTCTTGCTGTTTTGCCCATAGGCAATCCCCAGCTTAATTATTAAAAAAATATATATATATCTACTATACTATAAACAATAGATATGTATTTTTAACAATTAATCTGGGGAGTGCCTATGGTTTTGCATTTCTTTCTCTCCCCCTCCTCTCTCTCTCTACCGGCGTTACCTTTCAAAAATTTTGCCGTTATTGGAGTACAGTTATATCAATAAGTTTTCAGTACTCCCAATTTTTTTCTCACCTGTAATGTCATTGTATACATTTCACATGTCTTCATTAATCTGTTAGGTAGATCATGCTATCAAATACGCACATATAACACAAGCTCAAGTTTATTGATAAGTTGATCAAAATTGGAGACGGATAATCTCATTTCAGTTTATCCATGTCTAACATATCTACCACATGTCTGACCAATGATTTACATAAATCAAGTTTATTGTGAATCGATTACATATCACAGTTATACATTTAAATGATTTTAACAACATAAAAACTCTGCAGCTGCAGTTTTTTTTTCTCTAGAATTTTAGTTTAAATATGAAGATTCGTCAGCAACAAAAATATAAAATTCATAAGATAAAAAGAAAATGCAGAAAAAATAATGATATGATAATTTTTTTTTATCGATCCGTGATAGGTATACATGTAGCTTTATGGTCATTCGTATATTGAATTAAGACTTTTTAAAAAGTTACTCTCTCTCTCTCTCTCTCTCTCTCTATTCTAGTATATTGAAATTTATTGAACATACCTTATCCTTAATTATATAAAGAATATCATCTGAGCATTAAATAGGGGTATTTGATGAAGGAAACAAAATCCCAATACATTGTACTCTTTAATTAGTAAAAACTCTACCACTCCATAACCATTATTCAAATCTTTGACCTACCCATGGTAGTTATTTATATGTATAGGTTCAGCCTTTTTAATTTTCTTTTTTAAGGACATACGCAACGTACCTTACCTACTGATAAGTTTTCAAGATATTCTTAATTTAAGATTATAGTGCCATCAGATGTTTGTAGAAAAAAAATCAGCATGCATTACCAGGGGTTTTGAAAAGATATCAATTGATGAAAATTCTTTATAATTCAAAGAATATACAAAGATTACTAGACATATACCGGTATTATAAATGTTTTGTTTATCCAAACTTGTTTTAGAAGAAGTGTACAACAGAATTTATAGACATTTAAATGTATCACACAATTTCTTTAAGTATTGGAACTCTTCAACCCCAGGGAAAAAGACAATAAAGTTCAAACTACATTGCGTATATCCTTAATTAAAGTTTTGTTTTATGCTCATGTAAATTAATAAGTAATGCAAACCTAATCTTATTTAATTAAACAAAAAGAAAAGAAAAAGCTTTTGACTGACTTTTTCGCTTTTGTCAATCTTCACATTGTCAAAGCTTTGTGATATCGTTCCTCTACACAAAATTAGAACGATTTCTTTTTTCTAATCACAATTCAACTCTTGGCTGCCGAATATCTCCAGACAAAGCAAAGGCAAAACTGGCAATGTGGCAGCAAACCGGGTTTTCTTTTGTGTGAACAGTGCTGATATTTCTTACATAAAATTATATATGAAATCTTTCTATTCTGAAAACTGTAGGAGGTCACATCGCAACAATATTTAAGTATCATGCACATCTCTGATACAAGTATAATTGATCTGCAAAGAACTTCCCGTATCTTAAAAACTGTATGAGGGGCATGGCAGTAGGAACCGGGGGGGGGCACGCGTGGGGGGGGGAGGCGTGCCCCCCCCCCCCCAATAATTTTGCCGATATTTTAAACACTATAGAAAATACAGCTACTGTATGCTTGTGCCTCCTCAATAAAAACGTCTCATAACCTTTTTTTTGCTTGTCAAGAAATTTTGGTAATCGATAGTGCCCCTCTCCAAACTGAAATTGTATGGCTCCCCCCCCCCCCCAACTGAAATTGCTTCCTTTATCCGACAAAAACAATATTTTACATAAAAATGACAGAGTTCAACAACTGGTATTTTTCTCATAAATTATTAAGAATCAAAATCCAAGTACATTATACATCTCTGATAAATGTACAATTGATGTACAAAATAATCACAGCTTAGTTTGAAAACATCCGGACAAATGTTTTGTTTTGTTTTAAACATATTTTATTTACTTCATCGAAAGGATTTGAAACATGTTCTTATATTATACTTTCATGCAGATTAGTTGAATCTGATTCGTCGAGAAACATTTAATGTTAATAATGAATAATGAAGCCACGCCCTTCAGTGTAGCAACAGTTAACATTGCTTGACGACGGGTGTTATTCCAAAAATAGTGACTGCGCAGAATTTATGCGCGCAAGGTTCACTATTATATGTATTTGTATAAAACATTCAGTATTATATAAATATTGCATGTAGTTGAGTGTAATATTGAAAATGTTCATCCCTTGAAAACCATTGTTAACCGAGGTGCAGCCGAGGTTGACAATGGTTTTCTTGGGGGGAAAATTGTCAATGTTTCACTCAACTAGATGCAATATTAATCATATTATATTATACTTTCATGTAATTTACTTGAATCTGATTTGTCGAGAAACATTTGTTAAAAAACATATTACCCGCTGAATAATGAAGCCAGGCCCACCAGCGTAGCAACAGTTAAAATTGCTTGACGACGGGTGTTATTCCAAAAATATTGACTGCACAGAATTCATGCGCGCAAGGTTCGCTGTAATGTGTACTTGTATAAAACATTCAGTAATAATTAATAATAGGCTGTTCCTCGGTTGCTAATGGTTTTCTTGGGGTGAAAATTATCAATGTTACACTCATCTACATGCAATATTCATATAATAACTTACTAGTCCCTCTCCTTATTTTATACAATATGTCATATATATGCAAATTCAAGTACGGAAGCCTAATTAGGACCTATCAGAAAATATACCGGGTATTTGATTTCGATATAACAAATCGTCGAATTCGTTAAAACGACTTTTATTCGTTATAACAGAATTCTGATTCTGTTGAATTCTTTATAATGAACTAAATTTGTTACAATTCGTTATAGCGAATTCAGAAATTTGTTATAACACATTAAATTCGATTTAACGAATTCTAAAATCTGTTTTAGCGAATTGAATTCGTTTAGGGCCTATAGAAAAATACTTATGAATTCGATATAAAGAAAATGTCGAATTCGTTCAAAAAATTAAAAAATCTCGGATCTCGTTGGATAAAAGGAAATGAAGTTAATCAAAAAGGAATTTGGCAACAGTTATAATCATTTGGAGACATAACAATGTAAAAGCAAGGAGACACTTTCTACTGAAATAATTTAGGTATATTATGAAAAGTCAAACGTTGCAATATTGGATCTTTTCCATTTTTATTGTATATTTAATACTTTTAATTTTTCATTTAAAGAATTTATGCATTTCACCCATCTGATCTATAGAGCCACAACACCAGTACCCCCTACCCAGGGGCCAGGAATTTAATTCACAATTTTGAAAGAAACACCCTTGCTCATCATAGCCATGCACTTAGTTTATCTGCTTAATACCCCAAAACAGAGAAGATTTTTAAATGAACACATGCATTTTCACGGTATAATCCATAGATCCTTGTCCTAACATCAGAACCCCTGACCTGGGGCTATGAAATTAGAAAATTGCAAAATTTAAGATTAAAATGCAAAAAGCGAATACGCCTTCTTATGAAAAAGTAGTTTTATAAATATTTTGTCATTAATTTATATTTGAAAGTAAATACAGTCTCATTCATGACTTTCGGATAGGATTAACAAACATGAACAAACTGTTCATCATGTTTTCAGGTTTTGAAAACTTAAATTAGATAAGATATAGACATAGATAAAAGTTGTAATACCATAGAAGGTATTCTTTTATATGTATACCATCGACTTCTGGAAGGCCTTTGAAGTAAGAGTTACAGATGCTTTTTATAACTCGTTTTTGATAAATTAATCTTGGGGTAAAACGGGGTGAAAATTTAAGCAGCTCTTTGTTCAAAATCTTCTTAATTTTGTAGCGACTGATGTTTGAAATTTAATATCATATTAGGAAAACAAAAATTACTGTTTTTAACAAGACTAGAAGAAAAAGTAAAGTTTGTTTCAATTTCAAAACAATTATATCGAATGTATACATGTATTTATATTCCAGTGAGTATCTTTCTGCATCTGAAAGTTTTAGTGTATCGCTAAATCTGAACTATTTAAAACAGCTATGAAAGGATTCTATAAATTGAAGACTTTCTCTATAAATTTAGCACCCGGAATTAAAACAAGTACTAGTATTCATCTCTTTCAATGCACAACAAAAGTAATTCTTTAATATAATTCTGAAATTTAGGGTGGACGCAAAAATCAGCTCCATTTGATTCAGACAACCTCTTCAGATCACTTTATCGTGAGAAGCTCCTTCTAATTTTTTTTTTAATTTAGTCGTTTGTGTTTAAAGAAAAACTGTGAATTTAAAATGAAATGTTATATTCTAATTCCCTGACTTAAAAAAGGCGGGATCAGATGCATACATGTCATTAGTTTTCAGATGATAACTTGTTATCCATAAAAGTCATTTAGCTTTTGTAATAAAATTACTGTGACCATATAACGGGGTTTACCCTTGGTTACAAAAGAATCAACAGAAAACGCACTTGCCAATTTCTTGCCATATTTAGAAATTACCTATGACATTAAGAGGTAAAAGGTTCAAGTGTCATCCAATCAAAGGTTAAAAAATTGAATTGATGTCATAAAATATTCATTCTGTCTTGTAAAATTGTTTATATCTCGGATTATTCGAATCGGGATCGTTATTTTAAAAAAAAATGCTGCGCATGCGTGTTTCAGTGTAAATAACATCAATGGCAACAACTGAATAACTTCAATAAGGAGACTTTGCTGATTTTCAATGTAACCTGTAATTTGAGCACCTATAGGACTAAAAATGGTGAATTTGAATGCTTAGAATACTTTTTTATTCCCGTTTTTATACAAAGTACTGCACATCTGCATTACCAAACACCCCTATTCGTCATGTTTTACTAGATACATCAAGTAGAGGTAGTTTGTCGAACCGGGTATGTCAGGACATAATTATAAATAATAGTAATTCAGCAACAACAGAAATTTTATTGATAAATCATATACTGAATATGTGTAAAAGCAAAAACAATTGGTTGCCCAAAATTAGTAACGGAATCTCAATACAGAGTTGACATGACATGTTCAAACTTGTCACTAATATTGTAAAATATTTATGTTCTTAGATGTAAACACTGAATAGGACAAGGAAACAATTGAACAGGTTCTTGGTATTGCCTGATTAGTGAATTCATCAAACATGACAGACATTGATATGGTACCAGTGAAAGACCCAGGAGGTGGAAAAAATGATGGTCAGTAAGACAAATGTAGTATCATCTTCTTCTTCCTTAAATTCGCATTTCACCTTCTGGTGTATTGTCGCAAATGACTATTTACAGAAGCCTTTGGAAACAACTCTCTATCAATCTATTTACAGTTCATAAAAACCTTTTTGGCACTATGTACAATTAATTCTGTCATTCTGTCTTATACATATTTTATTAATAACACTCTTTTGGAATGCTGAATAAGGTAATACAGACTTTGAACAATCTGAAAATTTGTAATAAAGAGCAAATTATAAACATGTATTGCATTCTTGTAGATTTATTACTTTAAAGATACCATTAATGTTTAAGTGTTTTCTGATGTTTGCAATATCTGCCAATATGTTTGTAATGAATCTACAATTTGCTGTTTGCAAATCTGTTTGAACTCCCAAGAATCCCAAAAATTAGACAATAGAGACATCCCACTAATTGATATACTGCACATACATGTGCAATTCAATGTATTGAGTAACCATGTCAGTGTGCTTTTTTCTTAAATCAACCTCATTACATTTATTTATCATGTTACACTGAATCACACCTTAGATTCTTTGGGTAAAGACTTTCAACAAGATGAAATAACTCGGTTCATTGAAATAACTATGTTATTATTGAGTTATGTTTGAAAATATTGTAGATCAGTATGCAAACTCAAATTTCTTTTAGTCAATTACATTAGTCTATATAGATATGAGCTTACCCATACTGAACTTATTGATTTGAAAACCTGCAAACATATAATACCCTGTAAGTCTTACTCTTCTAAATCTTCAACAGAAAAAAGTGTTCAAATCTATTTTCCTTCTTTATTTAAACCTTAGTCCCTTTCACTATTTTGAAAATAAATTTTGATTATATATCTGTATGTGGGCAGTATTACTAATAGATAGCAGAATAAATGAAGCTATATATCCTCTTGTTTGTGACTTTTCTGAGTACTTGGAGCATGATCATATGATTTTGCTTGACAGGGTTTGAACAGAAAGCGGCTCAGCAGAGGCGAATGGTCAGTAAATGGGACAGAGACACTCTTGAGGATAAGTACCTTAGAATGTATGAAGAAAATCTCATTCTAAAGAAACATGCTAGGAAACAGGAGGACAAGATCAAAAGGTGGGTAGACATGCAGTGAGGTAGCTATTTTGTAGCACTTGATAAACTAAGTATTGTTGAACTGCTTCTGTGTGTAAAGCTTATTAAGCATATATGATGTTGTTAATATTTTTTCTAAATTCAGATCAGAAATTCTGTAATGATGGCCATATTGTGAACTTGTTGCATGAAGATTACATTTTTTTTTCACTACAAGTAATATCTGTTCTATTTGTAGAATGGCAACAAAATTACTGAGGCTTGTGAATGACAAAAAGAAAAACTCAGAAATTGATGTTGGAGGTTAGAATATGACCATTTGTCATTCTTATTAAACTTTGATTCATTCAAATGCTGTAGATAAATTTTTGTACAATCATTTACAGTGAAGAAAGGACGGGACATTGAAATGGAAGAAAAGATGGAAGAACTCCATGACCACATTAGGGATTTAGAAAAACAAAATGTTCATTTGAAAGAAAAGGTGGGGTCTTCATTTATTCAAGTGTTTTCATTTGTTGGGAAATTGTAGACATATTTTAAAATTTTGGAGTACCGGGGTATTTTTTTTGAAAGAAAAGTTTTTTTTTAGTTGATGCTGACTAAACAACAGCTAGCAACTACGGGTAAAAGGACAACCCCCTATAACCGTGTAGGCTCCAGGATTGACACGGTAAGAAGATTGGGAAATATATTTCATCTATTAAAAGTAATCTTACCTGTAAAGAATTATGAAGCTATGCAGAATTTTGAAATTTTGCACTTATTACTTTTTTTCTGGCCATTATAGGGCATTGCTAAGACCAGTCATCCATCTGATCCCAGATTAACCAAAAACATGCGAGTAGTAGGACCACAAGATGGCTTACGGGAGTGAGTAAAAAAATATACAGACATTTTATATTTACCAATAATCAGCTTTCAGTGATGAGAAACATGATTCAACATTCTATTTGCATTTGATTTTCTACAGACAACACATTTATCAGACACAAAGCATGCCTTCTCAACAGAGAAGTAATCAAGGATTGATGGAGCACACCAGAGCAGAGCTCAGACATAAGTAAGTCACTGTGAAACATTTTATACAGTGTATTGACTAGAAGTTAGAGAAAAATGTTAGTAATTGCATGAAAAAAAGCAATGAATCTATTGACATTCTACTCTTTAAAAAAAAAAGAAATATTAAAGGAGTATAAAAGTATTCCCTGTTCATGTAAATTTTGCAGGAATGACCAAATAGCTCAGCTCCATGAACAGCTGAATATGTGTGAGATGGAGATAGAAAATCTACGACAACAGGTATACAATTCTACTATGTTATACTATCAACTTTTATATTACTTTGTTAATTTTAAATGTGATCTTGGGAAATATCATATTGACCTTTCATATTTCTCTGGCATAGATAAAAGTTAAAGAGTCTGACTATGAAGAAGACCTCCTGAAAATAAAGCAACAAATTACAGCAGAACAGAGGTAAGCAAATAAGAAGTTACTGTTCATGTTGGCTTAAAAATAAATACTTATGTATATGCTTGTCTCTAAGTCAGGAACTATTAGATTTAAAACTCAGACACTACAGTATATTATAATGGATACCTTAGAAACTGTGTGCCAAGCTTTCACTTTGACTTATTGACGAATATGAATGCTGTCCTGTAAGTCTCATAATACCTGAAATGGAGAAACAAAGCTTAGATGTAACTTTTGCTGTTACCAATGCATATTTATATACTGTAGATTGGGAAATTAATATGAGTGTTTGATTTTACAGAGCAACAGTGCAAGAAAACATAGATCTGATAAAGTTACAAAGGGAGGTGAAAGAAAAATCAACAAAGCTGTCAGCTGTTACAGAGAAATATGCCATTCTGGAAGAGGTTTATATCTACTTTCTGCTAAAATGTTAAAAAACCCTGTTTTGTTGATTAAAGTACATATATGTAAATATAATGACATTTTAAGGTATGATATTTTAAACACTTTTGCTTTTTTTTTGTAGAATCTTCACACAATGAAACGTAGTCATGACAACATGTTAATGGAAATGGAAAACTTAAATATGCAGCTTAAGGAAGAACAGAACAGAGTCTTAACTTTACAGAATGAATTGAAATTTGGCACAACCAACAATAGGAAAATCATTGAGGTAAAGATAATGAAAAAGCTAGTGTTCTCCAAACCTTTATTTATAAATTTGTGTATTTTGTTAATTTGACGTTTTTTTTTTGGCTTAGTTACAAGAGCAAGTATCTTGTTTGGAGAAAGAGAACCAGATTTTGAAGGAGGCCAATGAGAAGTTTGTCAGCAGTGCTTTTGATCTGGAACGTGAACGAGAATGGAGACAGAGAGAGAACCAGTTAAAGGTACAAATAGCACAACTAGAGGCCACACTAAAGGCAGATCTTGGGGAAAAAGGAGGGATCTTGGATAAATACGCAATTGAAAAAGGTACTCTCTCACTGTGTTAATTCTATATTGATTTGAAACTTTATTTTTCATCTGAAAAATTTAATTGTTTGGTATCTTTAATTTGAGGGATTGTTTTATCATGATATATGACACAGATGATGTAAGTAGTATTTAGTGCTTAGTTATACTGAGAATTCTTGTTTACAGAGACCCATGAGCAGCTACAGGCCCAGTTCAGGGAAATGCAGTTAGAACATTATCAGCTGAAAGAGGAGTATGATGATCTCAAAGAAAAGATGAAGTTTTTCACCAAGGTATGACTTAGCTTTCCACACTTTTCTCTCTTAATATCTGTATACATTTAGACAAAGTATTCCAAAATACAGTACAGCTTTTGTTCTATAATGGTTTATATCTGAATACAAAAACACTAACACTGTGACATTATTGGCAGGAGAGTGCTATTGATTTCACGGAGATTGAGGAAGCCCTAGTTCTGGTCAAACAGAAGAAACAGCAGTCCGTGCCTGATCCTGATTTCCTACAGAAAGTGGACAAAGAAATGTCCAAAGGTTAGTTAATGAGATCAATTATTCAAATAAGATTGAGACTTCAAGCTACACATAATGTATACATATCAAATGGATAAAGAAAGGGATAAATGTTTATCATAGCTTCTGATTGTGAAATCTTTATTTGATACTATGTACAACTTTGTGAAAGTTGATGTACATTTTAACAGATGAGCATAAGAAACTTCTAGAATTACAAGCTGAGTATGCTGAATGTATCCATGAACTGGAGAAGACACGTAACATGTTGGTCATACAACACAAGATCAACAAAGACTATCAGCAGGAGGTCAGCAATCTGTATCAGAATTCTAGTATATGTCAGTAATGTCAGCAATCTGTGATCAGAATTCTAGTTTATGTCAGTAATGTCAGAAATCTGTGATCAGAATTCTAGTTTATGTCAGTAATGTCAGCAAACTGTGATCAGAATTCTAGTTTATGTCTGTTATGTCAGCAATCTGTGATCAGAATTCTAATTTATGTATTGTCTGTAATCTGTGATCAGAATTCTAGTTTATGTCAGTAATTTGTGATCAGAATTCTAGTTTATGTCAGTAATGTCAGCAATCTGGGATCAGAATTCTTGTTAATGTCTGTTGTGTACTTTGTAGGTAAATGCACCTCATGTTAAGTTTAAATATCTGTCTTTAGGTTGATATTTCCCAATCCAAGATTGATGAAATTAAGAAGGAGTATGAAACAAAGCTGGATGAGTATGCTCGCTTGTTGGACATCAGGGCAGCCAGAATAAAGGTTTGTATTATTTTGTTGTAGGTCCACACCCTTAAAAATCTTAAATAAAAAGTAAAAGCAGTTTCATTATAAATTGCAAACATGTTTCAATTTCTTTAATATATGAATGATTTATTCCTAATTCTTATAGTACAACACTGTTTTTACAGAAATTAGAAGCCCAGCTGAGAGATGTTGCTTATGGAACAAAACAATACAAAGTGCCCCCTCCTACTGATACGGTAAGGATAAGAAAAAATAAAGGTCCCTTTCCACTGATAATAGAAAGGTAATGACAAATTACTACCCCCATACAAAGGCATTTGAAGTTTCAAATATTACTCTTCATAAATAAAAATTTTCATACTAGAAAAATAAGTATGGAATTTTTGTTATTTATGAAGAGAATTGTTTAAAATGTCAAGTGCCCGTCTCCTCTAATATGATAAGAAAAACAAGATATACTGTTCTCTCCTTCTGTCCGGCTGATTTGGTAAGGGTAATAATACAAAGTTTTTTCCTTTCTGATATTTATATTGTAATGGTAACAATTCAAAATCCACCCTCCCCTTTCATATTAATGATACACTAAGGGGTTTTTACATTGGGATGTATGTAACAATTTTAGGTCTTGATAATTGGTTATGTTTTATTATATTTAGATTGAAGACACCATCGACTTTGATGAAACTATTCATCTTGAAAGAGGACAGAACTTATTTGAAATTCATATACAAAAGGCAAGTTTTCTTCAACTATTGAAAGCAAAATAAATGTACAATGTACATTGATATTTACAAATTTCAATGTTTGCATGTTTTAGTAGGTTGTTGGTCAGTCAATCAGACTATTCATGTACTTTGATTGGTTGGCAATCTTATTATTCAAGCTAGCTTTATGCATTTTGATTGATTGATTGTTGTACAATACACAATATCTCTTCTGTGGATCAAAGATTTTCTATATCTTGATTGGTTGATTTTAATCTTTTAGGTTAGCTTATCACCTGAAGCCATTAAACTCCTTGGAGATGAGGAAGCTTTGATCTTCTGTACCTGGGAATTCTTTGAGTTTGAGATTCAGTCCACTCCGGTGCTCAAAGGTCCTCGTCCAGAGTATGACTTTACTTCTCAGTATGTGGTCAAGGTCGACGACTTCTTCCTACATTACCTTCAGCGGGTAAGTTATTCTTAGGAATTTCTAGATGTCAGACATCTTGTTGTACAATTTCTGACAGTTTATATCATTGATTTATACTTATATACATTTGGAAATGTTTGAAAAGTACTAGTTATTAATTTTCGGTGCATATTTTTAACATTATTTGTCAGGATTACCCCAACTACAGTTTTCAAGATAAGAACTTTATATTGTGCATATCAATTAAACATAAATCATAGAATTGCATGGGACTTGGAATTTGAATTTTAATAATTTATGAGAAAAAAAAATACCAGTTAATGAACTTTAGTCATTTTCATTCAAAATATGTTCCTTGGGTACATTGACATTGTTGGGATGTCACCTCTTACAGTTTTCAGGATAGAAATGTTTTATAATTTACATGTATGTGAGAAATACCAGTACTGTTCAAACAAAAGAAAACCCTGTTTGCTGTCACATTGATATTTTTGCCCTTATTCATTATTATTTACTAGCCATAGAAAAGAACATCTAAAGATAAACATTCTATTCTTTTAGGAAAGTTGTACTTTAGAGCTTCACCAGTCTCTTGGACAAGAATACAAGACTGTGGGGGCTTGTCAATTGGTCTTTAATGACATATTTGACAAACCCCATGGAAGAATTCATGGGACTGCTAACCTTACAGGTGATTCAGTTTTGTCTTTTCTTGGTAATTTTCAAATATTAACTTAGATTGAAAAAGGAGGAATTAAGAAAAACTCTGGTTGCATGCATGAGACCAGATATTTGAACTGGACAATGGTAATTGACTGTGTTGATAACTTACTGATAGGTTTGGATGGTGAAGGGGCAGGAATGGGCTTTGGTATTGTAGAATACTGGATCCGATTACGTGTCCCAATGGAACAAGCACTGAGACTCTATAAGGTCAGTCCTTTAAGTTTTCTTTGTGTTTCACAGACTGTTACAGTAAGAATTAAAAAAAAAAGAATTTTGATTGATAATGGAAGAAATAGTAAAAAGTTTGCCTATGTTTTCTAAATAGGAGCGTACCAAAGCTCTAGGATACGTTATGTCCAATCAGAAGGCAGCTACTGAGGCTCTGCAGGCCCTGGATGAGAATGCGGCAATGAGACCCAAGGATAACATCAATGAACTACATATCAAGATTGTCCGCTGTAGTGGTCTCAAGTCAAGACAGCCTAGTAAGTCATATTGTAGTTTGTAAAGGAACGTTCATTGCCATTCATTTTGAGGGGAAAAAAATAAGCTTCAAAGTTTCTGCATGTACTTGTGCATCATTTATATGAAAGAAATGACTAAGTGGGTTTGCTGGAGGAAATATATTCGTGTGTCTTAGGTGATTATCCTCAAGGAAAGATCCAACATTTTAGAAGTTTTAGGTCCTCAGTAAACTGTAATTATTAGAATTGTACACTGCTGTATTTTCTCTGCAGTTACATTCTGATAGTTTCTTTGAAAGGACAAAAATGCAGTATGAACACTGTACCAAAAATGACTCAGATACTGAAATGAAATTAAAAGGAAGTGAAAAATGTCACTTGTAAATGGACTGAAATTTTTTGTAAAGAAAGCATGAAAATAGTCCATCTTGTACATGTATGCAGCATTTGATTGTACATCTATCTTGTGCATGTATTTTGTAGATATACAGCCCTCTCCTTACTGTGTGTACCAGTTCTATGACAACAGAGACCATGATACAACAATCATTAGAAATTCTAATAATCCCGAGTTTAATGACCATAAAACATATCCTGTACCAATGACAGCAGACTTAGACCAGTTCCTCAAAACTACGGTAATGTTAAAAGTTTAGATACCAGTTTTTATTAGCCTTGATATGGAAGAAGTTTGAAGTGATAAATTTTATTTTAAATTGTAATAAAAGCATTTTGATCCACGGGTCTCTTGTTTAATGCTTTGTGTTACTGATTATTTCTTTTCAGCCATTGAAAGTCTTTGTGTTTGATGACTTGGACCCTGAGCAGGCCTCTTACATCGGCATTGCAGATGTCCCCCTGATTCCCCTGGCCCACAATAAAGCTGTGAAGGGATTGTTTGAGCTGAAGGCTGCTAGTGGGCGTGTCTCAGGGACAATAGAGATGGAGTTGAGGTGGCAGTTTACTTATGTACCTCCTAAAGGCATGCCTATCACTGAAGAGGTAAGGACTATCATCAAATTCTGATTATGAAATAATACATGGAATTTTGATTGTCTCAGGTCCTGTACACATGAGACATGGTACTTACTTATGCACTTAAAAAATGTGTCTTTAATTTCTTGATATAAAAAGCCACCAACACAAGATGTGAAACCTGAGGAACCAACTCCATTAGATGAAACTCTCCCACTTACTCCTGCACATACCAAGACCAGAATGGCTGCCAAGTTCCCAGGACCCTCTGCGACATCCACTCCCATGCCAAAGTCCAGACTAACAGATGATACCATGGAAGGATTTGTCAAGTCTATGGACATAGATACCACACCCAAGGTGAGAGAATGCCATAACAAAATCTGAAAATGTTCATGGTCAACTAAAACATGTGTTAGAGTTATATTAATTTCTTTTGAATTAACAATTTTTAAGGCTGCACCAAAGAAAAAGTTGGAAGTTCAAGAAGAATCTTCAATTCAGCCATCAGAGTCTCTTGTCCATGAGGCTGTATCAGAAGTGGTGTCTGCAAACCTTCCCAGCATGCTTTCCACCGAGTCCATGCCACAAGGCAAGTAACACACACCTGGTGATGTCATAATGTTATCATCATACACATCGTTAAAAATTGAATGGTAGAACCATTTATTTTTTCATGTATGTTGAATTTTAGTTCCCCATGTTGAGAGTCCAGTTTCCTCTAAGAAATCATCTCCCAGAGCTCCGTCAGATCAGGGTATGTGTCAAAAGTGGGAAAAAAATCTATTACATGCTGAAGGTTAAAAAATCTGTAAATCTTATAAGTGACCAATGTAAAACAAAGATGGTATACAAATGTACAGTAACATGTCAGTGTAATTGGTGAAAAGGGTACTTACTTATTAAGAGTTTGTTAACATGGCTAGTTCGGTGCTGGGAAAATTTGTGCTTTTCATTGTAAACAGGCCTTGTGTTTGTTTTGTTTGACAAATCTGGAATATTCAAGAAATTAATCATAATTCTTTTTATCAAGAAAATTTAATGGTTAATGTACAAAAAAAGATTAAAGTTTTTCATAGCAAATTAAGAATTAAAAGAGGATAGGGAATGCAGTGCAATTCCTTTTTGTGAAATCTTGGATGATTGTCCTTATGTACATTAATATTTCAACCTAGATGCATAATTGCCAGCATTATATGCATGAATTGACTATGCTTCATAATAATCTGTGGTATTTCTATATATTATATCCAAATACATTTATATCAACACATACTGGTAGATCCCTCTTGTTTAATGGCATGAAATATTAGAAGACATGCATGTGATTTTAGCTGAACAGCAAGATATACACCAGCCAGAAATAGAGGATGAATCTGATACCCTGAGTGAGGAATCCAGTCCTCAACCTGTTGGGGAGGCACTTGCTTGCCCCTCTCCTCCCCCTGAATCTGATGGTAAGACAGGTAACCCCCTCACTGCTGGTGATGGGCGTGGCTATGTAGTGGTAGATGTAGTAACCCAAACCCTGACCCTAGTCATCACATGTAGTTTTGTTTTCCCTTATCATTTTCTTTAGCTTGAAGAATATTTGAAACAGTTGTCAAAATCTGAAAAGTACCTTTATAAATTTTATTTTTGAAATATGGATAATAACAGTTGTGTAAGAAAAAAATATTTGGAATGGGTAATTTCAGGATTTTTTATGTTTGTACAAGTATTAAGAATTGGCTTAATAATACTTCAATATTGGAACAGTACAAAAATAAGAGAGAATATTTTATACAAGTATCTGTTTTCTTCTTTTGACAGCTGTTTCAGAATGTATAGATGTGTTTTCTTTATAACATAAGAGCAGCCAACTAAACTCTTTTATTATTTGAATGATTTTGAACAGCACAATTGACAACAATTCGAAGGAATTGGCAAACCTAAAAAGTTTATTTCAGGTCTTTCTGTCATGGAAATTTCAGTACAGATCTTGTATAATTTATTTCTTACTCTGTACTTCCTGTCGCAGGTAAACAAAAACCTGTCCCTAAAGCCAGGAAAACGTTGACCTTTCATCTAGGTAAATTAGCATGGTGATATAGCCCTGCATGGTTCCTTTGATGATGGTGTCTTGTCGCTGCTTATAAACACAATTGTAAATTTGTAACTGTTTCTAGTTGGTAAAGTCTTATATATGTGTAATCATTATCTTATACAAGTCATCCATATTATTATAAGTTTTTTCTTAAATACTGTAGGATAAATAAATAGGATACATGTAACATGTATAGATTCACTAACGTACAGCATGGTAATTCCTGCAACATATAGTAATCATTTTAATAAATTGATGTCAGTAAATTTATATACCCTAATGTAATAGCAATCCAGGATTAAACACTGTGACATATCATGTAATACATTATAACATGTACATATACTCTTTGACATATCGGTAATCCATCATTACATGTAAATACTCTTTAAATGTACTCAATCCACCATTACATGTAAATACTTTTTAATTGTCATCAATCCATCATGACATGAAAATACTCTGTAAATGTAATCAATCCACCATTACATGTAAATACTCTTTAAATGTAATTAATCCACCATTACATGTAAATACTTTTTAAATGTCATCAATCCATCATTACATGTAAATACTCTTTAAATGTCATCAATCCATCATTACATGTAAATACTCTTTAAATGTCATCAATCCATCATTACATGTAAATTCTCTTTAAATGTCATCAATCCATTGTTACTTGTAAATACTCTCTGACAAGTCTGAATCCATTGTTACATGTAAATTCTCTTTGACATGTCTGCTGTAGATTTCCATGACCTATTCTATAATCCACTGTTAAATACTTAAGTGACCTATGGTTATCTGTAATTCACTATTATATATTTCTGTTATCTGTCTGCATTCAGCATCCATGTCTTCCCTGTCAGACCTGTCAATATATTTGGGTGGATATTGGAATTTATCCTGTTTATGGGGCTTTCTTTGATGCACAGTATAATTTTAAAATGCATGTTTATCTGTCATGGAATTTGGTGTATAAATTGTATATCATAATGAGTCAAATTATTTTTTCATAAAAATATGTTTATATTCACTACCTAATACACTGTACTTGTAGATGTCAAATGGTATCATTATATGAATTTAATCATATGTTGATGATTTGTGAAATTTTTAGAAAGCTAGATGCATATTCAAAATTGTCAGTTGATGTTTAACCTCTTACATTTCAGATATGAAAGAGGATACTTTAACTCCTAAGGTAATGAATCAATCAGTAACAATCTCAAAGTTCATAGTTTACTGATCATTGGATCATTGAACAGCCAATTATTCACTTTCTTCATTTTTTTGCAATAAAAACAAGTGTTCACTTTTTCAGGCAGGAAGCAAGGCCTCAGACACCATGTTTGGTGATGAAGAAGAAGGTAAGTTACACAGTACAGGACAGCACGGTTATTGTAAACAAAGAATTTACTAAAATAATGGAATGGAATGTTTCTAAAAACAAAAGCACTATGAAATCTACTATATATAATAATAATGTTGATTAAAAAGAATGGTTTGTAATCTTGAGATGAGTATCATTCTAGATCATGATTAATGCATTTTTTGTAAATCTGTAGATTAGAACTCTGATTTTTCAATGAAATGATGTGAGTTTATTATATTTTTTTATTAATAAACACTAGAAACAACATTTTATGACTTTACAGAGGAAATAGAAGAGGAGATACCTGAGGAAGTGGAGGAGCACGGGGAGACATTACCCCAGCCCCAGCCCTCCACAGAAACAGAGGAGGAGGAGGGGTCAGAAAAACTACAGATGGAGACAGACAGCGAGGGCATTGTAGTGATGAATCCTAAACCCAAACGTCGCGGCAAGACAGTCAATAAAGCTGTATGTCAGATTTTAATGATAAGTTATGGTACAATAACAATGAAACTTTCATATTTCTTTAACATGAGTAGTATATTATATATGTACTAATTCTTTTCTTGTCGTTAACAGGCTAACAGTGTGACGGTCGCAATATCTCACCTGTCATTGAATGAAAATGCGACTGTGCTGGACAATGATAATGTTAAACAGCTGTTTGTAGCCTACAATTTTCTGGGCATTGATCCGCAGGAACTTGAGACACCATTCTCTCTACCTAAACCTAAAGCAAATATCCCTATTGCCTACAACTTTACAAAAAGTAAGTCATATACACTGTATGTATAATAATTAAAAATATTTTAAAATATCAGATAACATGTTGCACTGATCTTGAAATGAGAGATATTCTTATTGATTATGGACTCCATTTATTCCACAGCTTTCCAGGTGGACATGCAGAAGAATTATGAGAGGAGACAGTATTTGGCGGGCATGTTGTTACCAGATGATCCAGAACAGGGCAGGTATGGTGGTCTTACTGGTCTGAAGCTCTGGTCTCCTTGTTATGATTCATTCACATATCAGAGCTTAAACTTGCAAAGTCTATCTACTCCTAGCTGTTTGAATTACGAAATGGTTAACATACTTCATTTTAATTAAGTAAAGTGATTAATGACATGAATCCCAGAAAATATCAGCTTCAGTGCATTGTCAAAGAAGACACTTTTGCTTTGGTTGATTATCATTGGTTTTGATGTTTTCAGGATTCGTTTCACTGTGGTGAGTGAACCACCAGATGACGATATGGATGCCGAATGTGAAGACATTGGAGTGGCTTTTGTTGGTGTCAAAGAGATCCTTATGTCTAAAAAAGATGTCGAGGAGCAAAATGTTGATCGTAAGTATAGTCCTGGCAGGTAAAAATAGGCCACTCTTATTTATTTTCCTAATCATGAATAATTAAGTATTGAGAACAAGAGTAGAAATGGGAATAGAAAAGCAAGATTTGATCTAGAGTATACATGACAGTAGGATATGATGCGAATAATTGCTGATATAACCCAAACTTAGCTCTCTCTCTCACAACAACAATTGAAAACAAAACAAGAAGCAAAACCAAAATTTAAATAAACTGATTTATACTGTTGTGCAAATATATGCATCTTTATTTATGTGTAACAAAGTAACTTATGTTTTATTTGTATTTATTGCAGTCCATGATGTTAAAAATGAGAAGGAGGTTATAGGAACATTGAATGTGACAGTCAAATGTCTGGCTGCTTTAGAGGCGGTAGAGAAAGAAATGCAGATTGAAGGGACTTACTGAGCAGGAAAACTGCAAACAATGGAGAAAGATTAATTACTGTGAATGAATTTACATTACTTTGGGGAATTTTTAAATCCACTGCAAATAGTTGTTTTAATAGCTGCAGAAATACAAAAAACAATATTTTACAATAGAAAAAAATCCTCAAATGTAGGAAAGTACAGAGGAGAGAATTTGTTTATGTTTAATCATCAAATTCCTCTCAAAAGCACATTTTTTGTGGCTAGTTATAACAAGTGCTCGTACGTGTGCTTTGATGGGATTATCAGTTCGTACATTAACATCAAGTTTATGGGTCATATGAAATTTTAATTATTGGTAACCTTTTTTTTTAATGTGTAATATGTCATGAATTTTACAATTATTTTCCGTCCACTTTGAGTTGTAGTTCTGCGATAAATATTTTTAAAAAATTTAAAATTACATATTCATAGATTACTTGAAGTTATTTATTTCACTTAAAGATGACAGTACATATGTATTTTGATGTATGAAGAATGTAATGTTTTTTATGCTTGAATGTGTATGAGGTTTTTAACTTAAAAATGACTGAACTGATTTTCATTGGTTTATTTTACTGGACCTCTGACTAGAAGACTGTGATATGAAATATATTGATATTTGTACATGTAGTAAGAGATTTTAGCCAAGAATATTGAGATCTTATTTATAGAATGTTCTTCATACCAGTTCCAATAGAAATAAAATGTGGAAAAACTGAACATAGCACATGTTATGTATGTTTTATCAAACTTACCAATTATTCTGAAACATGGCTTAATCTGCGTCGAACAATAATGTGAATATGTATTCAAAGCAAAAAACAGATTTTGAAATGGATGTGCCAACTACATGTTTCATATTGTCTGTGCAACAGGTGAGGTAATCGGGTGAAGTGATCTTGAATAATCATTTAGACGTTCTATTCTCGATTATGACAGATCACAGAAAAATCATTGCAATTACTAGTATCTTTTTTCCTGTCTTAATTCGCTTTTCACTGGAAAGATTACTATTTTCGTATATTAGTAGCCCCCTATTTATTGGAGATGTAAACATTCGGTCAATAATCATATCAGGAGCCATGGTACTGAAAGTTGACGTAAAGTCGATTGTTTTAGAGGCAGATGAACTAAAAATTAGGAAAGATAAAGGCAAGCCTGGTAAGTTAAAGACTGGGCGTGAGCCCTATGTTTATATCGGCTGGCAGCGAGATAGACTAAATTGCCTTGTTCACCTGTGGCCTAAATCTTTTATTACAGTTAGCAAATTGTAAGCTGCATTTTTTATTGTTTCTTTTTTTAAGTTTTAAACTATTAATTGACATATGGAAGGCACAGATATTTGCAGTCAGGAAAAATTATGCCAAAGTGATAAATTGGGACAAGGGTTGTACTAATAAACGCTAAATCTAAAAATTCAAGAATTCCAAATCACAGCTTAACAAAGATTCTCTTTCACGAGGTTTTTTAAGCCTTGAATAAACCTTTCTTTATTGGAGTTATTGTGTTTTCTGCTAATTCTTAATTTTTTTCTTTCGAACATTTGACCATTTATTTTTTTGTAAAAGATCAAAAAAAAAAAAAAAAAAAAAAAAAAAAAAAAAAAAAAAATCTTTAACATTCTTGCCTAAAGAGAGTGTAGAATATTTATATTCACTCTGGCACTCAGAGTAATTGATACATATTCCATGTATACATTCCTATTTCCACCTTTCCCTGTCCAATGACAAAACATTGGTTTATTAGCTCTTCTGAGCCAAAGGCTCAAAGAGCTAATGCTGTGGCCATTTGTGAGGTGTGTGTAAACTTTTAGAATATGGGCCGTAACTCAAGAACCCCTTGGCCAATTATTGTCAAATTTGTCACAAGGTATCCTTGGCCCAAGGGCTCATTTTATACTAAAACTAGGGTTGTGACCCTTAAACAAGGGGAGATAATTAGGTAAATAAAACCAAAAGTACTGGTTGCTAATAAATCTTCTCAAGAACCACTGGGCAGATTATCACCAAACTTACACAAAAGGAAGAGGATATGTTGTAGATTAAAATTTGCAGGGGGAATCACCCTTGGGCAAAGGGCATGGTCTCAAGGCCACTTCAAAGTTGACCAAAAATTACATTTTATTAAAATGTTGATATTTTGCTCATTATAAGGACTAGGATCATCAAATATTGTCAGTTAATGCATCTAAGGACCTCATATCATGTTGACTCAAAAGTAGATCACACTGACCTACTTTTTAAATTTTGGGGCCATTCTTTTTCAAAATGATTTAGAGGCATATTTTGAACAATTTATGGCCTATGGTCATCAAACTTTGTCATTTGATGTATCTTGGGTCCTAGCTTGGAGTATGTCAACTAAAAAGTAGGTCACCTTGACCTACTTTTAGAATTTTATGACTAATCTTTTTCAAAACATTGAAGGTCATTAATTCGAATACTGGGAGATTTAGAATCATTAAATCTTGTAAGATGATGCATCTTGGGGCCATAAAACATATTTCTTAAAAAGTACCGTACATGTAGGTCACAGTGACCTACTTTTTGAACTTTGCAGGCATTTGATTTCAAAGCGTTTTAGAGGCATATTTTGGACATTTTAAGGGTTATGATCATAAAACTTTGTAAGTTTGTAAGTCTTGGGTCTTCAAAAAACATCAATTGAAAAGTAGGTCACTGTGACCTACTTTTGAAATTTTATGGCTATATTTAAATATTTTGGGTACTATTTGGCTGATAGTCATCAAACTTTGTTAGTTGATGTATCTTGGGTCCTCAGAGTAGGTTGACTGAAAAGTAGGTCACCATGACCTACTTTTCTCAATTTATATGACTATAATTAAATATTTCGGGTACTAATTGGCTTAGAATCAGTGACCTACTTTTGAAAATTTATGGCTTTGATTAAATATTTCAGGTTCTAATTGGCTTAAAATCATCAAACTTTGTCAGTTGATGCATCATGCATCTTGGGTCCTATGGGTACGACAACTGAAAAGTAGGTCACTGTGACCTACTTTTGAAATTTTATGGCTGTGCTTAAATATTTTCGGATACAATTTGCTTAGAATCATCAAAATTTGTCAGTTGATGCACCTTGGGACCTCGGAGTATGTCTACTGAAAAATAGGTCAGTTTTCAATTTATATGGTGATAATGAAATTATTTCGGGTACTAATTGGCTTAGATTCATCAAACTTTGTCAGTTGATGCATCTTGGGTCCTCAGAGGTAGTTGGCTAAAAAGTAGGTCACCATGACCTACTTTTGAGATTTTATTGCGTTATTTAAATAGTGTTAGGTACTAATTGGCTTAGAATCACCAAACTTTGTCAGTTGATGCATCTTGGGTCTGCAGAGTTGGTCGACTGAAAAGTATGTTACTGTGACCTATTTTTGAAATTCTATGGCTTTATTTAAATATATCAGGTACTAATTGGCTTAGAATCATCAAACTTTGTCGGTTGATGCATCTTTGGTCCTAGGAATATGTTGACTTAAGTGTAGGTCACTTTGACCTACTTTTGAAATTTTATGGCTACATTTAAATATTTTCAGGTACCTTTCCAGGTAAGTGCTTACTTTACACAAGTCTTAAATTTTTTTATGACCTAAGAATGTGCCATGACTTGACCAAGGTCATTTCAGCAAGTTTAAGGCCACAGGTAGAAAAAGTGTATAATTTGTGTATAGTACACGGACAACTTTCAAATGGAGAAGCACAGGAAGTTTATACTTGATTGCTAATGACTTAAGAGTGACTTAACCTTGATTCTAGGTTATTTGGTCAAACTCAAGGTCATATTTACAGATAATGTAAAATTTTTGTCTGGTCCATTATGTTGTAAAAGAGAAAATTGAATGCAGTTAAAAGAATTTTTTTTGGGGGGGGGGGGGGGCTCAGTCAGCTTTCTATAATTCTCCTTATGTTTTGACAGTAAACATTAAGATCTGTGATTTGATTGGCTGTCAGAGCTGTGATGAACAATCCAATTCCCTGTCCAGTCTCTTTGTAACACCCCCTAACATTGTCATCAGGTACATCGCTAAAGGTCAGAATTACAAATGGACAGCAGAGACTGTGGAGGTCATGGGGTCAAAGGAAGAGTGTGAGGCACTGAAGAATGAGATCAACAAAAAACTGGGTCAAGGTGAGAGATAGAAGAAAGGATGAATATCTTTCCACAACAAAAAATAAATAGTTAACTGAACATTCAATAAAAAAAAAAAATCAAGCATTCCCTATACATAAATTCTGCTTTTAACTTAGAAATAAGATGGATAAGTCAATCACAATCACCTTGAAATCTCCAGATATGATTTCCATTAAATGCAGATTTGAATGCAGTTTATGAACAACATGCTACTTTAATATTTATTTAGAAAAGGAAAGGCCCAAGAAATTGGCAGTCTTTATCAACCCAATTGGAGGGAGCCAGAATTCTGTGAGTGTTTACAGCAAGGTTATCACCCCTTTATTTAAAGCTGCAAACATCAGCTGTGATGTCATGGGTAAGCATGTCTTCTAATGTGTTTCAACAGCTGTTGAAATCCTTCAGTTTTTCATTTCTAATAGAAATTCCCTGTATACATGTAAATTGATTAAATACTGTACATCACAGATTTAAAAAAAAAAAAATATCATATATCTTATTTCTTCACTCTTCAGTTTCTGAGAGACCAAAGCATATGATTGATCTGGTGAGTGGTTTTGACACAGCTAGTGTAGATGGGTGAGTAATGATGTTTTCTTCTTTACTTTAGAAGGTCTACATCTATGTTTTGTAAAGAGATCCAAAATTACATAATGCTTGTGTACAGGGGAAAATTCTTCTCCAAAACAACAAGGCCATATGTTGTTTGTATTGATATTGAAGTATCTCAATGTTATGTGGATTCAACTTTGATTAAATCATAACTCTCTTAGGGCTAGATTTTTGTCCACAATATGGAGTCAAAGTTTTTATGAAATTAAACAAGGAAAGAAAAAAAAAGCTGATGAAGAAAAGCAGGGTCATAGTTATTCAGGTGAGCAATGTGGCCCATGAGACTCTAGTTTATGTAAATGACACACGTTTATTACTTTGACTCCTAAAAAGAAAACAATATTTATGGCCAGAGGGTCTGACCCCCCTTTCCCTTTTTTTTTTCACAGACAAAATGTCTTCAGGTCTCCCTAAGATGTTACTTACACAAGCATAGGGGGTGTAAATGGGGTTAAGCTGGGTTGTGAAAACTGCCTAAATGATCTTAATATGGTGCCCCCTCACCTTTCTCACAGATTTCCCTATCTGTCTATGGCAATGTGTTTATAGCTAAGATATCTGTACTTGGATGAGTGACCTTTGCATGGAACAACCCTAAAAAAAGCATAATGACTTTAGAGTTGGGTTGCTGGATTTTTTGGAAATTCTTTGTGACTCTGTGGACTTTCTGTCCAGGAGCAACCTTTATATTGGGGAAAGTTACCAAAAATGTACTGGTATATCTTCATGTTGAGATTCTGACAAGAGACAAAAGATTTTTAGAGGAAACCAATTCTTTGAGGTGAAAGGGAGAGAGGGGAGTATTGGGAACAGTAAAGAGGAAGTTCATACTATGTAGTGAGCTGTTCATACTATGTAATGAGCTGTTCATGCTATGTAATTAGCTGTTCATACTATGTAATTAGCTGTTCATGCTGTGTAGTGAGCTGTTCATACTATGTAATGAGCTGTTCATGCTATGTAGTGAGCTGTTCATACTATGTAATTAGCTGTTCATACTATGTAATGAGCTGTTCATGCTATGTAGTGAGCTGTTCATACTATGTAATTAGCTGTTCATGCTATATAGTGAGCTGTTCTTACTATGTAATTAGCTGTTCATGCTATGTAGTAAGCTGTTTATGCTGTGTAGGGAGCTGTTCATACTTTGAATTGAGCTATCTTTTCTGATGATCAGATGTGGTATAATTTACATCAGTTGAAGTTTATTACCAACAAATTTGGTACCAGGTTAGGTGACCATTCCTCATCTCATAAAAAAAAAAGGATCTGTAAGGACAATTATTTAGAGCAGAATCACCACATTCAAATGTTGAAATTCTGGATGAAACAGCTACATATATCTTCGATTGAACTTTTCTTAATTTGAAATATTCCTGCATATGAGTATGTAATGTATTTGTAAGATGGTATTTTGTGTCCTGTTTGTGTTTCTTTGCAATGAGTCATCAAACAGATGGTGGATTTTGTTTTAGATTGGTTGTTGTGGGTGGTGATGGAACACTACTTGAGATTTTAAATTGTCTCCTGACTAGAGTCCAAAAAGAGGCTGGGTTGGATTATGACCAGCCAACCTGTAAACTGAAACCACTGGAGGTGCCAATAGGAATCATCCCAACAGGTAACTATGGGGACTGAAGGAAATTTTTGAAGGTCAGGTATTTTGTTATTAACAGCTTTACACAAATAAAAAAAATGTTTCTTATCTGCATAAAATGATAGTGTATGTGTACTTAAAAAGTAGGCTTCATATTTTAGCGGCTTTATTGTAGACAACGATGCGCTAATTCATGAATACGGCTAAGATCTCATATATAAATACAACATATGGCACAGAAGTGTGTAGCGCTAATTCATGAATACACCAATAACTTTATACCCAGTGAGTGCGCTAAATTTTGAATACACCAATTTAGTACCTTTTGTAAAACCCTAGTAGTAAGTAGTGCTAAAAATAAACACACAATTTCCAGGTAACAGACACATGCAGAAGAGGTTTATCTCTCCTACATACATTGACTGAATTGCATTTTTTTTTTTTTTTACATTTGTTCACACATTATAATTCAATTCCTGGTTAACTTTGTATTACAGGAACTGGTAATGGTGCTGCTTCAGGCCTGTATGGTAATAAAGATGTTGTCACTGCTGTTCTACACATCATCAAAGGTCAGTTATGTAGTTACAAGATGTAAGGGAATATAATGTATATAGATTTTGCCTATATTGTGATTAGGAAAATGAATCATAAATGTAATGAATGCATTGCACAGCTGCTATTCCCACAAACACACATTTCTTTACTCCTTATTAATTTAAATAAAATAAAATGCTGTTTTACTTTTTTGTTTTAGGTCAAACTAATTATAATAATGCCCAGGCAATTTATAGTGGTGGCAAGCTAGTATCTTTCAGTGGTGGAGTTTGTGTAGCATATGGGTTGTTCTCTGACATTATTTACCATACAGACAGGAATAGGTGGCTGAAAAGGGCAAGATATGTTGGTAGGAATTGGCCAAAATTTCAAATGTTTTTAGATTATGAAAATATCAATGGTAGATATGGATTGCTCACTTTTAAAATATACATGTACACATGTATATGTACAGTTGTGGATTCAGGAAAAGAAAATGAAGAATTTCTGGCTGTAGTGTTTTATAATTGCATTATTTCACATTTCAGTTGTTCCTATAAATGTGCTACTCTTCAAAAGACAAAGGCAATTTACTGCAAAAGTTACTCTTTTCCCAATGTAAGTTGAACTTTTTCTGCTAAACAAGCATGTTGTATACTGCATTTGTATACAGGAATTCTTTTTCGACCAACTATGTAATTTTTTTTTTTAATTTAGCTCATCTGAGCTGAAGGTTCAAGTGTTGAGCTTTTCTCAAGAACAGCAGGATCATGTTTATATTTAAGGATCCTCAGGTTGTTCAGCTTCAAGTTTGTTCAAACCATGGCCAGTGTAGAAAGGGTAAAGCCAAAAAAAGGGGACCAATTTTATGTGGAAAAATATAGGAGTGGATCAAAAAATTCTTTTTAAGAGTATAGCAGTGTCACACTTAATCATATTAATATGTAAACTGTAACATTCCCAAATTGTGTGGATTCAAGTTTGTTAACATTTATTACACTGATGTTAGGATTGGGCTAAAATAAATTTAAGGATGAACTTACAGTTACTTAATGCATGTGTAAAGGGACTTTTGTCAAAAAAATCTTTTTCCCAGGAACAGCTAGGCCATATTGAAGCATCCCCATGGGGTAATTGAGACCAATAAATGTGAAAATTTCATGGGAATAAAGATGGAAAAAATCTTAATAAAATCTTTTTCTTCTGAAAAACACCAAAGCCAAGTTAACTAGGGTGAGCAATGTGATCCATAGACCTCTTGTTAGCTCAACTGAGGTGAAAAAATTCAAGTGAGCTTTTCTGATCATAATTTGACTGTTGTTTGTCATTATTGTTCATGTAGTCATTGTTGTCATTATAAACTTTTTACAATTTCATCTTCTTCTCCAGAACCACTGGGCCTATTTCAACCAAACTTGGCACAGGGTATCCTTGGGTAAAGTTTCGGTAAAAAGGATTTTAGTTTGTTCAGATGAAGGGCCACATCCTCTTCCAGGGGGAGATAACTTAGAAAAAAGAAATCGTCTTCTCAAGAACCACTGGGCCAGAAAAGATGAAACTTATATGAAAGTTTCCTGACATAGTGTAGATTCAAGTTTGTCCAAATCATGACACTTGGGTGTAGGGCGGGGCTACTATGGGCAATCAAAATTTTACCTGGGTATAAATAAGAAAAATCTTTAAAAATCTTCTCAAGAATAGAAAAGGCATGATAATCATACTTTTATATGGAAGCATCCTCAGGCATTGTAGATTCAAGTTTGTTCAAATCATGACCCCCTAGGGGGAAGGGTGGGGCTGTAATGGGCCAACAAAGTTTTCCATGGGTATATATAGGAAAAGTCTTATCAAGATCAGCAGAGCCATGAGCAGTATTATATATATGGAAAAATCTAAAGGTAGTATTTAAATCCCCGGGGTGAAGATATTATCCTTTTTCTCCTATAGGGAGCAGAATACAGACTCCAAAGATGGAGATACAGAAGCCGCAGGCAGGGAAGAAGCAGCAGCAACAGAAGGAATAGGTGACGAATTTATCATAGGAAATGTAATTTTCAAACAATCACAAATATCAGATTATTCATATCCAGTCAACATTTTCAGATATTGAAGGGAGATGTATAAGCATTGCCTCTTCTGGAGCAAATCAGAACTATGTTTTTCCCCCATTTGGTGCCTCTATTGTGTCATCAATAAAATACCCCTGTGAATTTATGGTAGTGCTGTATAGAGAATGCCAAAAGCTTGCTTTTCTAAGTCATTTTATGAGTTGTGCACTTGAAAAACCAGATGCAGTGAGTAACTTGCTATTATAAGCTGTCAATGAAGAGCCACATCCAAATAGCTTTCATCTCATTGATTTGTTCTCCACTTTGAACTTTTGCACACAAGCATCTGATTTTATTTATTTTTCCTTAAATAGATAAGATAAACCCCTATCTAATAAAAAGAAAATTAAAAAAGTTCAGGTACCTATGAATTTGTAGTTTTCAGAGGTGACATTTTAGAAGCATGAATACATGTGCTGAAAACCAAGTATTATTCATGACAACTTTTATTTGTGATTTTTCAGTTTAAATCTGTCCACAGGGACTAATTTTCGTGACTGAGGAATTATGCATAAATTCACAATGACATAAACAGTTAGTTGGAAAAAAATTCATGAGTAAGAGAAGGTCTTGAAACTTGCCAAAATGAATAGAAGTTGGTTTACAAGATGCATAATCTTTGATTTTGTGCATATTGTTATTGCACTTATTAAGCAAGATTGTTTTTCACTCCATTTTGAATTCATAGTTGACTGTTGTTATCAAGTTTCTTCAATAAAGTGTTACTTTCTGCACAGAAGCAGCAAAAATAAAAGTACAGTGAAAATATAGCTGCCCCGTATACATACACACTCAAGAGCAATAGTAAGTCAAACAAGTCGAAGGTTAAGCATGACATAATTTGTTGGTGAAATTAGTTGCTGTGTCTAAGTATCTGAAACAGTGTGACTCGGACATAATCAGACTCAATTTCCTAAATTAGCAGATTATGTTTCAAGCTATATTTGTACCCTGCAATTGAAGTTTGGGAGGAGGAGGTATATATGAATCATCTTGTCTGTCTATCCATACAATCTTGCCCAGGCTTTAACTTTGTAATGGAGAATTATTGGAAGGTCATACTTTGGACAAAGACTGTTTATGACCTGTGAGTGTGCCATAACCTTGACCTTGTTCAAGGTTATTCCAACAAAGTCACTGGTCTACAACCTCTTTATGGAGTAAGAATGGAAGTTTCAATTCATTCTTTATACAAAGATTGCTTATGACCTGATAGTATGTCATGACTTTGAATCAATGTCAATTGATTAACTTCAAAGTCACATATAGGAAAATGTTTCATTTCTGTCCTTTCCAGATCTTGTAATGGAGAATATTAGAGACTCATACTTATCACAAATATTGCATGATGTGAGGGTATGTATTGACCAAGCCAATGTCATTCCAGCAAGTTCAAGGCCACTGGCAAACAGTGTTTTATTTGTGTCCTGAATTATAACTTTCATATTGAGAATAATTGGAAGTTGAGACTTGACATAAAGATTGCTTATGACCTAAGGGTGTGACATGATCTAAGCCAAGGTCATTTTGGCAATTTAAGGTCACTGGCAGAAAAAGTGTTCAATTCTTGTCTGGTCTATAACTTTCTAATGGATAAACATTGGGAGTTCATACTTCACCCAAATATTTCTTGTCTTGAAGGTGTGTCATGATCTTGACCCAAGGCAATCTGACAACTTCAAGGTTATTGGCAGAAAAAGTATAAAATTTTTGTTGAAAGTTGAAACTTTATAATTATTCATGAGCTAAAAGTATGTCATAACCAATGTCAAATTTATAATTTTATAATGGAGAAAGATACTGGATTCAAAGATTACTTATGACCACAGGATATATCATTTTTTAATCCAAGGTCATTTTAGCAAGTTCAAGATCACATTTACAAAATTGGCACTTAAGAAAATTGCAGTTTGGGGGTTGGGGGGTTATTAATTTGGGAGCTTGCTCTCAGTACCTCTTGTTATCAATGGTGTTATTTTCACATTACCTTGAAAATATCCAAAATTCATATTAGGGACTTTGTGAACATACTGAATACTAGTATCTCTGAAGTTAATGTACATGTATATGCTAATGTTTGTTTGTTTGTATGTTGTTTAACGTCCCTCTCAAGAATTTTTCACTCATATGGAGACGCCACCACTTGCCGGTGGAGAGCTGCAAATTTTGTCCTATACTGGGCACTTACGGCCATTGAGCAGTGAGGGATCTTTTTTGTGCCAGCACCTACTGCAACACAGGACCTCGGTTTATATGGTCTCATCCGAAGGACCAGTCTCCACGTCCCACAGTGGGATTCGAACCCGGAACGTAAGGATCAACTCCTTACGCTGCAACTCTAGAGCAGACGCTCTAACCACTGCGCCACGCGGGTGACTATATGCTAATGTATATAAGCCAAGAGATCTAAAAAGGGATTCTTATTGTTTTTTAATTGATTAACCTCCAGTTGGCAAGTTATACTGATTATTACTTTACATTCATGTTGAAAATAGATATGTAGTCCTGAAATTCATTCTTTCTGTGTCAGTCAGGCAGGTTCTTTATATAATGGCAGATGATATAATAAGTTCAGTTGGTAGAGCAACTGCGAAGAATACAAGGGTACAAGAATTCTGGTCCATCCTTCACATTTTTCCCCATTCTGTTACACTTCAAATTGGTTTTCTTTAAGGCTTTTCCTATTGTGCTTATGGTATAAACTAATACAGAGTTAGTTAAATTATTTTGCAGAAGCAGAATTTTCAAGTAATTTAATTGGAGTGGCATCTTTTGGGATTGATTTTCTCAGTGCTGCAACTGATTCAAAGCTGGACTTTGTTAAAGCAGCACAGAGCGGCAGACAAAAAGATGGTTTCTGTCTGTTTATCAACAAACACACAAGCCGGACCAAATTCTTAACTCATTTCTTCCAGTTAATGACCTTGTCCAGGTCTGCAGTATGTATTCATTTTTTGTGCAAGTTAGTTTTTGGGATGGAAATATATTTTGATGTTTGGTGAAGCAAATTTTAATCGGTTGTTATATATTTAATTAACTGCTTAAAGTTTAACAGAAATGGGAAAAAGGGTAATTATTTTTTGATCAATCACAAACTCATCCACAACAATCTTATACATATTCTGTGTGACATTTTTTCAAAAGTAAAATTTAAACACAGTGTTTAAACTGAATTTAAAATATTTTATAAAATACTTCAAGATACTGATATGAAATTTATTTTGATGTTGCTCTTCATTGAACTATATTTTAAAAATCATAACTGACAATAGATGATCATTTGCTTACATTACTATCATATTAATTTTGATATTATTTATACTTTAGTTTGAGAAGGACTTTTTGAGTACTCACTCAGTTCATGGTTATAAAGTGAAAGTTCTGAGTCATGACGAGTCCCCACAGGCAAACTCGGAGGAAGCAGAAATCAACAAGATGCTTGATGTAGATGGAGAACTGATAGAAATTGTTGATGAAGAATATGAAGTTTGGTAAGAGTTTCCCATAAAATGTATAGTTAAGTTTTTTTTGTTCCATACTCGATCTAAGTTTTTTTGTCTTCTTGAAGTGCATGATAGAGTTAATATAAGATAGTTTAATTGATACTGTGTCCAGGAGCTACTAGTGAGTGTCTAGTAGCCACTAATTAAGTTTGTTCAGTGTTTACAGTAGGCATTTGTTAAGTATATATATAAGGCATCTGTTGAGTTGGCAGAAGGCCCATTTAAAGTCTATAGTATGCACCTGTTGAGTATAAAGCAGGCACCTGTTAAGTAAATTGGCACCTCGTTGAGTTTATAACAGGCTACTGCTGGGTTTACAGGATGCACCTGTTGCATTTAGAGTTGACCCCTAAAGTAAACAGGCACCTATTGAATCTACAAAAGGCACCTGTTAAGTAAATGGGTACCTACTGAGGCTACAGAAGACACCTATTAAATAAATAGACACTTATTGAGGCTACAGAAGACACCTATTAAATAAACAGGCACCTATTGAGTCTACAGAAGGCACCTGTTAAGTTTTTATGCACCTGCTAAGTTTAAAGTAGTCACCTGTTAAATTCACCTGTTAAATGTATAAGCACCTGTTGAGTAGACAAAAGGCACCTGTTAAGTATAAAGATGCTATCTGTTGAGCTTTCAATAGCCAATATTGTATCCAGAAGAACACATCTGAGTATCCTCATCCACTCAACTACCTGTTTCCAATCTAAATGTAAAGCTAGATAATGTCATCAATATACCTATATGTAGATAACATCACAAACCTCTATCTACTAGTCACCTAAACTGTATGTAGTGGGCAGCTGCTAGGTACCTGTTAGTGAATAAGTATTTTAAATGGACATCAGGTAGGTATCCAGCAGATGAATACGTAGGTGATGCATCATCCAGAAGACCTAAGATTTACTAAACAATCAAGTGATCAGAATTATCTTTTTTATAAGAATCACACAAAATAATGTTGAAATTTTGTCTTTACATTTCTTTAGGAACCACATGAGCATAATAAAATTCTATACATGTTGGTGAGAATGGAAAAGAAGGACTTTTAAAGTTTTGTCATCAAATGGAGCTGCAGATCATCCTCAAAACAGGAGTCAAATTGTTACTATATACAGAGAAATTTTTGTCCTGTTTTATTTTCACCCCTTAGCCCTACTCACAGGTGGGTGAATTTAAAATGGGTGAATTCAAAAAACACAGTATAATTTCTTAAACAGAATTGCAACTGGGCGAATTTAAAATGGGCAAAATTGTTTTCGTGAAAGGGTGAAAATAACATGGGGCGAAAATAACCCTTTATACTGTTATAGTATTACTTCATGTCATTGTGTGCAATGTTTCATAACCATTTTCAGAAAACTATTTTAGTCATTAATAGATAAACCAATATCAGTCCATATACTTATGCATGTATTTTTCTGTGAAGGTAAACACTTCAACCTTATATATGGTGTCATTTGTAGATGTTATTTGTTGTACATGTATCTTTAAGCTCACCTTGATGAAGTCTATGGAGCTTACCGCTATAATTTGGCTTTTTGTGTCAACATCCCAGGTTCAAGTTTCTGGAACAGATGTATTTCAAAGTAACTCTCTGCCCTTTATTGATTAGAGCTGCATGAATGAGGCATTATGTTTTTTATTACATGTGCTGTTCTGGTTTCAGATGCTGCATGTATAGCTAGGGATTTCCAGAAGAATGACCAAGTTATCTTTTTGGCGCAGGTTACAATTTTTGGAGCAGGTCTCATTCCCAAATAACTATATACCCTAAGGTGATTAATCTTGCATAGATGAAGTTTTTGGAGCAGGTCCATTCAGTTTTAAGTAACTCTTAGACTTATATGGACAAAACTTGCATGGATGACGTATCTAGAGATGCACACAACCAGAGATGGACCTTAGTTTTAATCACCTGAATCACTCAGGGACAAAGTGCATATGGAGGATTAACAAGGGTGCTTCTTTCACAGTTGAGAAATTTGTGACCCTAAGGTCAGGGGTTTTGGGTGGGTGGATGTTCTTTTAATTAAACAGTGAAAATGCATTATTTCTTTGAAAATCTTCTTCTGTGCTCCTGGGTATTTAGCAAATAAACTTAAAGCATGGTTATGATCAGCAAGGGTGCTTCTTCCACATTTGTGAAAATGTGGCACTAAGGTTGAGGGTTTTGGCTGGATGGATGTTAATTATATAGTGAAAATGCATTACTTCTTTTGAAAATCTTCTTTTCTCCTGGGTATTAAACAAACAAACTAATTGCAAAGTTATGATGAGCAAGGGTGCCTCTTCAAAAATTGTGAATTCCATGGCCATTGGGCCAGGGGTTCTGGTGATAGGGCAAGGCTTTATTAATTATGTAGTGAAAATGCATTATGTCTTTGAAAGTCTTCTCCACTCCTTTATATTTAGCAGATAAACTAAGTGTGTGATTATGATTAGCAAGGGTGCCTCTTCTAAAATTGTGCATTTCTCGGTCCCTGATCAGGGGCTCTATTGATTATATGGTGAAAATGCATTTATTCTTTGAAAATCTTTTCTGCTTCTGGTTATTTAGCAGATAAACTGACTGCATGATTATGATGAGCAAGGGTGCCTGATCCAGAATTGTTAAATTTGTGTACCTTTGGTCAGGGATTCTGGTGTTAATGATGGACTCACTTAATTATATGTAGTGAAAGTGCATAAAATCTTCTCTGCTTATGGACATCAAAGAGGAAAAAAAAACAGTACAAAGTCATAATGAGCAAGGGTAATAAGCAGATTTATGGCATTCTGGACCACTTGGTCATGTGTTCTGGTGGTGGGTAGGGCTCTGTTGATCTTAAGAAATTTCTATTCTCTTTAGAGAAGTTATTGCCCTTTCTTTTCATTTATGATGATTGATAACTGTACTAGATGATAAATAATGTAATTGTAAGATCAGTTTAATAAAAGAATTATACAAGAATTTTTATTGTATCATACAAAAAGTACTTCATAGCTTTTAATGGTCATATAGACTTATAAATAATATCTAATAGAAAATGGCTAAAAAATTCCTTATCTTTATACACTAAATGTTTTTCAAAGACCAAGAGAGATCAATGTGAGAGAAAGTGAGAGGGGTTTACTACAAATGTTTTGTTTGGTCTGCATGGTGATGGTGACAAGTGGGGGCAGGTACATGTACAGGCAAATAAAAAGGTCTACTTTATGATATGTTACTGAGTACTAGAATTAAAATTGTGTTGGGCCCCTGATCATCCTATTTCTGTTGTTTTGGGGCAACATATCTTCATCTATCAGTTTATTTTGCTTTATTGTATGGATCCTGATTAGGGCCTCGCAAGGATTTGCGGGTGCCCTATAGTAATCACTCTGTCTGTCTGTCTGTCTGTCATTCTTCTGTCCACAAATTTTCTGTTTTTTTTTCTAATAACTTTTTTTAGGGTTGACCAATTAAGTTCAAATTTGGTATGTTGGTTGAATAGGCAGTAAGACATATTTTGATGCTAAGTTTGGTTCTCTATGTCATCCGGTTTGGAGCTGGGGTGGTGGGGTAGATTCCTTAACTTTATATAAGAGTGAATAGGCAAAGAGAGATAACTGCTGAGAATGTTCCTATTGTAATCTATGAGAGGTTGCAGTGAGTCTCTTGGGATTAATTAACTTTCCTCTTGAAGAAAATCCAAAGCATTTATCTTTATCTGCCACATTGAGATTAATTAACACCTCTGTCTGCAAATGAAGTTTGTTTTGAAGTTAAGGTCAATTCTGAATGATGTTTACATTCTCTGAAATGTGGATTTAAATAATGTTCATACTTTATTTTGGTAAAATACACAATGAGTTATGATTTTATTGAATTCTAAAAACAAGATATAGATAAAGATATCGTTTTTATTATTATTTTCTTTTTTTTCTTTTTTTCTGCCATATGTAAATTCAAGAATACTAATTATTTTAACAGGTATTCAGATAATAACCTCATTCTATCATTGCTGAAAAAGTTAGAAGAAAAGGTTGAGAGAGCAGTATAATTAATCCCGTGGGTTTGATTATCTTGCTGGTTTGCAGAATATTTTAGAGGGTTATCTTTCTGTCACTTTAAGATTAATTAACACCTTTGTCTGCAACTGATATTTGTTTTGAAGTTAAGGTCAAGCCTGGGTGATATTTGCATTCACTGAGGGCTGGCATTTTAGAAAACACATGCTTCATTCATTTTTAAATATACATTTAATTGAGTTATTATAGATATGATGTTTTTTACTGCCTTATGTAAATACAAGGATACTATTTACAAATTGTTGGATAATTAGCAGTTGCTGTTGCTTATTCTTTATATATTTTGAATTTTTTTGGAATCAAGTAAAATTCTCATCCCCTAATCTGCACCCTTATATTTCTAACCCTCGGCGGGGCCCTTGCTGACTGGTCAGATTTCTAGTTTAATTACAGTGTTGTATAATACTCAGGTGACTGTTAAGGCCCTTGACCTCTTGTTATACATGTAATATAAAATACAAAAGTACTTTCATGATTTTTAATGGTGAGGTAGACTTGTATATAATAGATAAATAAAAATTAGATAAAAATACTTTTCCTTTGAACATTAAATTTTCATCAAAGACAAAGAGAGGCCAATGTCAGAGGGAATAAGATGGGTTTACTAATAGTACTGTCAAGTACTATTGTTTTGTTTGGTCAGAATGGTGAAAGTGACAAATGGGGACAAGTGAATAGATCCACTTTAAGATGCACATTAGTGGACATTTGTTTGGTTTGAGACTTTGCCCTACTTAACATTCATCAAGGTGAGCTTTTAATCTTTGATTATCTGTGTTTTAATGGAAATTAGGCCAAGATCACCCACACTTAATTCAAGTTTATAAAGTGTTACTCAAATTATTTGCTATGATGGTGCTAATAAATGATTATACAGTTGAACTTTGGTATCTTGAACACTGATATCTCAAATACCATGGATATGTTGAAGTGAAATGGAAGTTCCAACCACTTATTTTTTTAAGTATTCAACCCTTGATATCTTGAATGCTTGGATATCTCAAAGTTTTTTCTCGGTTCCATCGAGTTCAAGATAACGAGGCTTGACTGTACATAAATTCATATTTATATAAATTTTATTTGGAGATCTTTGTATAAAATAAAAATAGTTGATCTTTATTGTGATTTTTCTTGCTTTTTGTTAAAAATGTGTGAATTGAAAGCTATTGGTTGGGTATTTGAATTTAGATTTTTTTTTTTCTGTAAAGGGTATCAAAAATTGGGTATATAAATAAACTTATTAATAAGAAGATTGCTCAGCTCGGACAGTGTTTGTCTTCAATGAGTGTTCACAATTTTTAGGTCACATGAATCACTCAGTTGACCTATTGCTGTTTTTGTCCTTTTTTTGTCTCTGCTCCTGGGTACTAAGCAGACAGAACTTAGTGCATGGTTATAATGAGCAATTCTAAAATTCATGCTGATATTAGGGTGGGGCTTTATTGATCACCTAGTGAAGATTCTTTAATTCTTTGAAAATCTCCTCTACTCTTTCCAGACAAGCAGACAAACTTGGTGAATAGTTATGATGAACAAGGGTGCCTCTACCTAAAGTGTGAAATTTATGGCCCCTGGGTTAGGAGCTCTGGTGTTAAGAGTTGCACTCAATTGATCATATTACGTCACGGTAGCTCAGTCGGTAGAGCGCTCGCTCCGTGATTGGAAGGTCGTGAGTTCGAATCTCGGCCGCGACTGACCTAAGTCGATAAAAATAGGTAGCAATTTAACTGTTCCTTCGCCATGCGCTCGGCACATTGAAGTGAAAGTTGCGGGTCCTTTGGATGAGACCTTAAAAACCGAGGCCCCGTGTCACGGCAGGCGTTGGCACGATAAAGATCCTTCACTACTCAATGGCCATGAGTGCCGAGTAAAGGTCAAAATTTGAAGCCCTTCACCGGTATATGGTGACGTCTCTATATGAGTGAAAAATTCTCGAATGGGACTTAAAACAATATACAATCAGTCAATTGATCATATAGTGAAATTGCATCAATTCTTTGAAAATATTCTCTGCTTCTGGGTATTAAGCAGGCATGCTAAGTACATAGTTATGATGAGGAAAGGTGCTTCTATAAATTCATGGCCCCTGAGTAAGGGATCCTGGCCCGGGGGCCATAAAACTTAGATTAGCTTACCTGTGAGCTCATTCTCACTTTTGTGCCATAAATTCCTTTCGTAAAAGTGAGATTGAGATCAAAATTAAGTGAGCTCGTCGAAGTTTTATGGCACCGGTGCCTGGTGTTAGGGTGGGGCTATATTGATCATATAGTGAAATATATTAATTCTTTGAATTTTTATTAAACCCTTTTTCTCCTACTGAACTGAACTCATCACAATTTTACAATTGTATACAGAGATATACATAAACAATTGTGAGAAATTAAAAAAGGTTAATAGAGCAATTTTGTTTTAAGGGGGATGCACATGATTTGGTTAGTCAAATTGAAGAAAAACCGGGGTTCCTTCTTTGCTCGAATTCAGTAAAATTTGGTACACGGTTAGACTTCATAGAAATATATAATCTATTTTTCGTTTTTTTTTTTTATTATTTCATCGCTGTTGCCATAGTTACACAAAATAGAAATTTATGTGAAATTCTTTCAAAACGCTTCTCCTTGTGTTTCGGTCCGAGTTCAGTAAAACTTGATACATAAGTAAAAGTACACTTGAATACATGCACATTTTTTATCATATAGCTAACAAGTAGCATCTTATGAGACTGTAGCTCTACTGGTTTGTACCTGTAACAAAGGAAGAGAAAAGAAATACTTGCACTTGAAACTGCAACAGCAATAAATAGAATATTGGTCCTTGGTTTAGTTTAGTTTTTTGGCAACATTTCATTGCAATCAGACTGAAACTGTTGGAGGAGTAGCCTTTTGAAAGAATTTCACGGAAATTTCTATATTTAGTCATCATGGCAACATCGTTAATCAAAATAAAAAACCGATTCACAGAATTATGTATTTTAATGTAGTCTACTTGTGTGAAAAGTTAAATTGAAATCAGACGAAAACTGTAGAAGGAGTAACATTTTGAAAGAATTTCACAGAATTTCTATTTTAAGTAACCATTATAATACCATTATTCAATAACAAAAGAAAAACCCATACACAGAATTACGTATAATTATCACAGTGAAAAATTCACTGTTCAAGAAAGAACTTTATTTTGGACTTTACTTTTCAATTTTTAAGTTGCGTCATATTTTATTTCTCACGATATGTTTTGCGAATCTAATTGTTTAATTGACCAGTGACACTTTTCGGACTCTTGATCTGTTGTTACAAAGAGACAGAGTGCTATGTCTCAAGAACTAATAATCTCTAAAAACAACACTGTGTAATTATCTGTTTTTTTTTTATGTCCAAACATCAAAGCGTCATTGAGTTTATTTAATTAATCCATACCTGTGAATCTTTCACTTATTTTATTAAATGTCAACACCTGTCATTTATTTACTCATTATGTACATTCTTATAAATAGTCATGTATAATTTCAATCATTAGTCTGGAATACGAAGGCCAGTCTCGGCCACGTCCGACTCGTCAGGACTCTGAGTCCGGGGCCACTTCGGCCAGATCCGACTCGATCATTTTTAACTGTTTAATAGGTCTGTTTGTTGATTCATGTAAATTGTTGCCATCGTTGAGACTCATCTAATAAATACGGAATCCTTCATCATTTGTTTTAACTCTGGAATTGCATATTGGTGGACCTTCGGGAATACGGCACACCTATACTTTGTTTTTACCTCACGGCCACACAGCGCCTCTACCAATACCTCGTACCCTCTACGCCAACATTCCCTCACCCCGTTCGTTAATTCTGCAGACAACGGATGCAGTTCCAGACGAATTCCTAAGTGCCGTCTAAATCTACACGGTCACATATTTATCCGAGTTTGAAATCTCCTTGTGTGCCAAGGTATATTGAAATCAGACTGAAACTTTAGACGGAGTAGCGTTTTGAAAGTATTTCACAGAAATTTCTACTTTTAGTAACCATGGCAACAACACCAAAATAAAAAAAAAAACTATAAACAGAATTATGTATCTAAGAGTAGTCTACTTGTGTACCAAGTTATACGGAAATACGGCTATAACTGTAGGGAAAGTAGCATTTTGGGACTATTTCACAGAAATTTCTGTTTTTAGTTGCCATGGCAACTCAGCAAAATAAAAAAAGGCAAAAAATTATGTATCTCATTGTAGTAATTTTGTGTGCCAAGTAATATTGAAACCTGACTAAAACTGTGAGAGGAGTAGCGTTTTGAAAGTATTTCACAGAAATTTCCATTTTTAGTAACCATCGCAACACCGTTTATCAAAAACCGATGCCCAGAATTATGTATCTTAGTGTAGTCTACTTGTATTTCAAGATATATTGTAATCAGATAAAAAAAAAAACTGTAGGGTAGCATTTTGAACTTTTTTTTTACAGACAGCTAGACGGACGGACGACGGACACATTACCATCACATAAGCTCTTCTGTTTTCTGACCAACAGAGCTAAAATCTACAAAAAAGTCTAGTTAAAGAATTTTAACGTTCAATATCTTGACGTTTCATTGAACGCTGAGTTTGCAATAGCCATGTCCCGAAACAAGAGTTCAATATCGACGCCCCGTTGTAAACAAAAAAGGTCTACCGCTCAACGGCAATATTTACTATGGGTAATGACAGCCATGTAAGATGTGTCTATTTTCACACAAAATTGAAAGTAATAAATAATTTAGTACCTATAAGCCGCAATAAAAACCCCAATAAACAAATTATAACGCTTTGTAGGGTATTTGTAATGATGTGATATTGAACACTTCCAGGATAGACGCTGTTTTAATTTAAATAAAAAATTTAAATGAAAAATTCTCATTAATATTGAGTTATTTAATCATTTCAAATTATTAATATTATCAATGGTAATTTTTTTTTTAGCTATGTAATAAAGGACTTATATATTGAACTTAAATAAGTGAATACCAGTGTAAAGACGAATAATGACCCCCAGCAGAATAATGACCGGGGGTCATTTTTCAATGTCGAAAAATGACTCCCGGTCATTAGAAATCTAGTTTTTCATTTGTTAATTACTAGATGAAATCCTGCGCAAGCGCGGGTAATTGAATTTATACCACTACTGAAAGAAAATATATTGTAGTTTATACTGACAGCCTACAGGCTTATAGCAGGAAGAAATACTTTGTTCAAAATCCCGCATACATGTACGTCTCCAACCCCCCCCCCCCTTTGTAAAAACTTGAAAAAATAACAATTTCATTAAATGATGTTTATTGTGAAACCTGTTATACTATGTTATGGATATTGTACTTCAGATGCCCTTATTTCATTTCCGTCAAGGATAATTTTAAGCAGGAATATGCACATTTTACTGATAAATTGCTTGTTTTTTTTGGGGGGGTGGTGGTAAAAATTCACAGGTACTTGGGGCTTGGTTTATAAATATGTATGTACCTTATTGATATGTAAAAAATGTACTTTACCTTTTTTTTTTTTTACATATCAATAAGGTACATACATATATATATAAACCAAGACGCATGTACCTGTGTAAAAATTAGCTTTTAACGCCCTATGAATAGGTCGGATATTTGATACAAAAGGATGTATTCAGAAAAAACCCTGAAATGTATTGATTAAAGCACAATATTTTACAGCTTTAATTGTATTTGAGCAATATCTTATTCATTAATTTTCTCTTTTCATGTAAACAATTTTATTACGAAGTAGAAATTGTTCTTCGGGTTCGTTGCCACGATGCTCTCAGTGAGGAATATAAACACATTTTACCGATAAATTTATCTACATATATGTAATAGTCTTTCGATATATAAATATATTCACAACTTATAGTGTTATCAATGATTTACCATTATCTCAATGACCATTCACACATAAGCATTTTTTTTTTATTTTCCTGCAGCTATAATCGTCTCGTTTTTCTTTTTAACATCGGGCTCGATGCTATATGATGTTCTAGAAGCTTCCGTCAATATTAAGATCGGTGAATGACAAAAATAATTTGCACATTTCCCTTTTTAATCGGTTATCACAACTTATTTCTTTTATGTCATTTAAATCAAGTTTTGATAAAAT